GGCAGCGCAAAAGCCATTTTGCTAACTGCTGGCCCCTTTTTTTTTTTTTTTTTTTTTTTGAGATATTGGCAGTTTTTTATGAAATAGTTGAACATATGTGTGTTACTTCAGTAATCTCATTTTCAAATCATACTTCTTGGCCTTTAAGCCAAGTTGTTGAAAATTTAGTAGGAACTATGAAATGTTTTTAAATGAAAGCTGTAAGTTTCCAAAGCAAAATCTGTTCAGAGTCTTTTTGAATACTCAATTTGAAATGCATAGCAAAACCCAAGATAATCTTACAAGGACATCCAAAAAAGACACACTTTCCCCATATCGCTTTGTGAATGTCAACTTTCATCAAGAATACAAGAACATGTCTTAGATTTATTTTCAATAAATACAGTTTATTTGCACATATTCAAAATAAGATGGTTTAGGGGTTTTTTTTTCTTATTTTCTTTTACCTATCTAACTATTTTTCTTTCTAACCCTGAATCTATGTACACACATAGTGGGTTTTTTTTTTTTCTGGTAATTTCCATCAATCGGCACTTTTTCAGAAAAAGCCGCCAGAAATTTTAGATTCAACAATTCATCCCATAAAATTATCTTAACAAATCTGTAAGAATTTGCAAGTTACCTTTGACATGTATGGAAATCTTCACTTTAACTGTAGATTACTTTAAAGTATATCTGAGAGATGGGAAGATAGCACATTTGAGGAATACTTATGAAATACTATTACACTATGAAAATTAGGTTGTCACCATGTTCACTCTTACTGAAAGGAAAACAGAGATTTAGGACCATCTGCACTATTGCACAAGCTCATCAAATTTCGCATCAATGGATCATGAACCAGAATGAATAATTTCAGATTCAAAACACATCTGTGCTAAGGAAGTCTGGAATATGTCATGTAAACCATAGACAGTTAAGAAAGAGAAGGCAGGAAAAGGAAAGAGAAAAGAAGAAAGATGGAAGGAAAAGGTAAGGGGGAAGAGCAGAAGAAATGACAAAAGGATAAAAACAGATTTTTGCTTGCTTTGACTTTTTATTTTTTAAATTATTGTTACAGGGTGCATGCCAGAGAGAGACAGAGAGAGGGAAAGTGAAAAATCTACCCCCCCACATCTCCCACCCACGGGCATGGCCATGCTTCAATTCCTCTTCTTCTTTCTCCTATTGAGATTTTGGACATGCACACACATGCATCTGGTGTGAGGTTTGGGACTCAGATCACACAGCCAGCCATGTAGGATCCAGACGCTTTAACTTCCATGCCACCTGCTGGCCCACCTGGCATGTCTTCCATGGCCCCAGGTCCACAACTCAAACTATGCAGTTGGCCATGTGGGATCCAGCTGCCTTAACAATTATGCCACTGGCTAGCCCAGATAAAAAATTCTTTTAAGCTATAAATGTGGTGAAAACCTAGCTGAATTCTTCATAGTGTCAGAAAGTAAAAACAACCTCCTCCAACATTCTCTCTCTGCTTTTCCACAGCAGAAATAAACAGAAACAAATGGAGGACATGACTGCTGTAACCCGCTAAATGCAGGTGTCTTTCAATGTATTACCCATCTGTTTTCTGGGATAATGTTTGTTCTATTTCAGTTGTGTGACATTAAGTCAATAACAGTGTTTTTCTATCTATAAGCAGCCACAATTTCTTTTGCAATTAGATAAGGGATATTGTTTTCTTTAGTAAAAACCATCTGCTCACCTTTGAAGAAACTGGGCAAGGAGTCACTAAGATATTTTCCAGGATTCCAAGATTCTGTCCTAAAACGTGTCTATTAAAGAACTACGTAGCTATTATCCCCTCTGTCTGTCTTTTCCTCCATCGATCTTGCCACGAAACTAACAGAAACTAATATGTTCCTCCTGGGTGCCTGATTCCTGTTGGAGACAAGACAGGAACAAAAAAAAATAATCCCCATCTCAAAGACACTTCTACGTAAGAGGCTTAAACAGACATTTATGTAATGGTACAAAGAAATATGTTTAAAAAAATCACAATAAATGGCATGAAGGAGAATTATAGCATACTGTAGATTCCTATAATCTCAATAGAACTTGATTTACAGTTTTAACATGTCCTGAAAACAAACAATCATTTGGACTTTACAGAGGTAGAGAATTCCCATAGCCAGGAAGATACTAAAGCAGAACTTCATACTAAACCTTCTTGGGCCTTTGCTTTTAAAATTGCTGCTTTCAAAAATACTTGAAAAATAAATAGCAAAGACTGTTTATTTATAATGTCTCAGTATGCTAATTTAAAATAAACTGCCAAGCTTTAAGAGAAATGGAATTGAAATTTTCAAAGGAGATGGATTTTGCCTCAACAGAACATCAGCCTTGGACAGGAAATGAGAGGGTTACAGTTCCATCAAACACATCCTAGCTGTGCTCCCATGGCCGTGTGGTAGAACCTCTGTAAGCCTCAGTTCCTCCATCCCTACAGTAACTGCCATGCTTGCCTGTAGGAGTTAATGCACAAGAAAGTGCTCTGTTTCTGCTAGCATAGAAAATGTAGTATAGGGGCCCAGCAGCTAGCATAGTGGCTATGTCACTCAACTCCCATGTAGTCGACCACAGTTTGAGTCCCAGACCCAGTGGCTTAAACTCACACCGGCCACGTGTGTGTGCATGCCCAAGATCCCAAGAGGAAAATGGAGGAGAAGGGATTGCAGTGTGGCCCTCTCCCCTGGGGGGGGGGGTGATTTCTCGTTTTCTGTCTCTCTGTCTCTCTCTGTCTTTCTGGAGAGCACATGAGCCCTATAGCAAAAACCTCTCCAAAAAAAGAAAAGAAAAATGTAGTATAGAAGGTCCAGCAGCTAGTGTAGTGGTTACGGGGCTGGACTTCCACATGGTCAAGCACAGTTCGAGTCCTAAACCCAGCATGCCAGGCACATGTATGCATGTGTGCCCCAAATCTCGAGAGAATGGAGAAGGGATTATGGTGTGGCCATTCCTCACTGTCTCTGTTTCTCTCTGGTGAGTGCAAACACCATATGGCAAAAACCTCTTAAAAAAGGAAGAAAGATAAGAAAATATAGTATAGAAAGGGAGAGTACAAAGCATTAAAAGAAAAAATGATGGGGCCATCAGGTAGCATAGTGGTTAAGGCACTGGACTCCCACATGGTCAACCACAGTTCGGGTCCCAGAACCAATGTCTTGAAACTCATGCTGGCGTATGTGTATGCATGCCCCAAATCCTGAGAGGAGAATGGAGGAAAAGGGATTGCAGTGTGGCCATCCTCCCCGTAGGGGTGATTTCTCACTTTCTTTCTCTCTGTCTTTCTGGCAAATGCATGTGCCCTATACCAAAAAAAAAAAAAAAAATCTCTCTTGAAAATAAATAATAAACTAATATAAGGCTGAATCACCCCTCTGAGAGCAATTAGGACTGGATGACCTAAAAGATTATATTAGCTAATTGAAAAATGTAATTGTGCATTTATTTTTAAACTGTTTACTAATCACCCCCGCAAAAACTAATGCAGTATCATCAGAGCCACTTACTTAGCATGCCATACTTAGTACCCTGAAAAAAATATAGCAAGTGCCCTCTTCCATAAGTAATCACATCTGCAATTGCGATTCAGCCTTGTTTTGCTCAGAAAGGGAAATGGCATTGTTTGGAAACATATGGTGGCTGGTTTCTTTTCTTTTTTCCTCCTCTTAGATGTGTATTCAAGGACAACAGAGTAAAAGGAAATTGAGGAAAGTCCAACTTGAGAGAGATGCCCTTGCAATCAGAAGAGCTACATAGTAATTCTCGCTTGAGTTCACCTGTTTAACGGTCACCCATATTTTCACTTTAGAAGACTTTCTATTTGTTACTGATCCCATGAAGGGCATTGCTCAAAATACATGGGCTCCATGGCCACCGACACTGCTTGATTCATGGGGCTGTTCTGAGAAATGATGGCCTAGAGAAGGCATTTTTAACCAGTCCTGTCAGAAGAAATCATTCAGTGTTTACTTCTAGGATTTCAGTGTGGGTTCTCCAAAAACATACTGGAGAATTTATAAAGGGCAATCATTTGTGAAATGTTTTGGAAGACTCTCCTCTAAAACACACACCCCACACTAAATAACTATTTCAACTACTGAACATCTATCTCACCATCTGAGTCAGGGGCAGGCGGTAATTAAAAACAAATTGAGCACTGAGAAAAATAAAACAAGATTCTTAAACACAAGGAGTGGGTTATTTACGATCAAGTTTAAAATCATCTTTAAACAGAATGGTCCTTTTTCCTCAGTTTGATGTATCTTGCTCTTCAAGGCTTCATTGCTTTAAAAAGGAAAGACACGTAAAGTATGAAACTCCTCAGTTTTATTAATGCAAACATATTTTTATTAAAGAATGAATGCATTTATGCTAAAGAATAGTTTACATACGCCGTAAAGCAACAAGCATATCTTCGAGAGGCACATCCTCTTCAATATGATCCCATGCTTATTCTACATGCCTGAAAACTGGACCCACACAAAGGGGCACACGTACACACACACAAACTCATACACAGACACACAGATACACAGACCAAAATGCCGACACCATCGTCTCTGTATTGGATTAGCTCTCATTTAAGGCTTCTAAGGTGCCACAGTGCCCCTACATACCACAAGGATTAAGAACAGACTTTATAATAAAGAAGAAGCTTTACCTGGAAAACCAGCCATCTGCTCTTGGTCTCAAATGCATGTATTTTAATGACGCCTTTCAATTTCATTCAATGTTGACTCTTTACATTTATGATATTTAAAGATCCACAAAACTGAGAAATCTCAGGCTCACTTAGTGAGAACTTCTCATTAGAAATAATGAATACATGGGCAATTCTGACCAGAAGAAATCATCAATTTTAAGATAAAAAGAGATTTCCCTTTAGGTTAAGATGGATATAACTTGTCTAGACAAGCCATCTCACTCATTCTCTATTTGAGTGCAATGTTGAATAGGGGGCAAGGCTTTCTTGATGATGCCAAATCAGATTTGAAGCTTGCCAAGGAGGATTCATCAGACAGGACCAGGAACTAAATAAATTACCATAAATCAGGGTTGAGGAAAAGGACAGCCTACCAAGAGTTTGCCTACTTAAGATTACCAAATCCCGTTTCCCAGGGTTTTCATTGTTGTGGTGGTAGTTTTGAACTTCCAATTTGTTTATTTGATTGTTTCATCTGCTTGGTTATTTTTCTTCCCTTTTGGTGTCCTGCAGTGTATGTTGAGAATCCAGCCCTGAAGGGACATTGGGAGGAGAAAGTGGACGGATGGGGCAGGAGGAGGGAAGGGGTTATTAGTAATTGCAGGTACTCTAAGAAAATAGATGAGTGAATACAATAAGAGGGTGCTATGATATACTTATGTAAATAAAAGCATTATGTTTAACTGAATTAACTGCCAACTATCAGGTTGTTAGTTGTAAAGCTCAAAAAAGGCTGTGCTGATTCACATACTGAGGAGAGAATCTGAAACTTGCTGAGGGAGAGGAGCTCTCAGGACCATCCAGAGGAGTCCCTTCAACCCTACAGACTCCACACCCGCTGCCACTCACCCCCACTGGGGATCCTAGAGGTGCTGCTAACACTTCTGTTGGATTTCATAAGGCAGACTAGAATGTTCCATCAAATGACAGCCACAGAGTATTTGCCTGAGAGTGGTGAAAATTGGCATGAAGATTGCCCATATGGAGGCATTGGGAAATGAGAAAAGAAAATAAGAAGAAACTCTAGAACCTTCCTCCCCATCCACACTACCACCCTCCTCACAGTCACAGCAGCAGCAGATTTCAACATAATGTAATTATTTTAATGATACATTTCTTTAGATTTAGAATTGCTCTTCTGAATTTAAAAAGCTTGGTCAGCCAATAGTTTGGCAGTCTTGTCATCCCAAATTTGAATCGTTGCTTACTCATCTATCCTCTTGAACTCCGTGACCAATGCTGCCTTTGCTAAAGCACCTCAAGTTCATTCAGCCGTCGTCAGATTCCAATTCCTGGGAAACTTCTTCAGACGAGCTGTTCCTGTGGATCCGTCCATCGCTCTTCATACTGTGGAAAGTCTTCTTGAAGGCCTCCATCATGGCATGGGCCAGCTTCTTGGCCTCGAGCTTGCTCTCACACTCCACAGCATGGCAGTCCATCTGGTAGGACAGGTCATCATTGATCTCCCTGTAAACCCAGGCAAAGATGTTGGGGCTCACGTTGTGGTCAGCGGTGCAGTAGGCAATGCGTGCCACTTGAAAGGTATCCATGTGGACTGTAGCCTCCCCTTTGTGGTCAAGGTGATGAAGCCACACTTGGAATGGTCGGATTTCCAGGAGGGCATTGGCTGGGAAGATGTCTTCTCGAGCTAGTGTGTGCTTCTTCCAGAGCTCGATGACTGGCTTTTCTGTGCAGCCTGAAAAAAATTGCATGCCTGTGGTGGAGACTTTTCCCAGATATGTAACCTGCAGAAGAAAGAGAGGGAGAAAAGAAAAAGGTTAACAGTAGGCTCTTAGTTTCAATAGACTGAATGAATGGCAGCGCCACCTTTGGAAGGAAAAGAGGTCTCTTTCTTGCTTCCTGAAAGAATAACTGTCATCAGAGTTTTACCCTTCCCCCAATAAGTTGCCTCCTTGGCAAATGCATTGGATTCTAAAAAGAGTTGGATTTTTAAATCTAATTTTTAGAGAACTACTCTCCTGCTCCCTAATCCTCTTTAAAATTAAAATGACTGATTATAATCTTTTACATAACGTGGCATTTCTTTAAAACCATAAAGACATGCAAGATTTATTGTCAACCAAATACACACAGAATTTAATGATACAAGGGAGTCAGAGATGCTGCATTTGAAAAACAATATCGTTATTAAACTTACCTTCTATCCTGGCTCTTTTTCCATATCACTCAGTGTTTGATTTCACTTAAGTTGTTTGCTACTAGCAAATGCTAAGGACGCAAACACAGTTCTACTTAAATTTTGGCCTAAAGCATGATTGATTTCTTTCTTAGATAATTTTTTGACAATTTAAAAAAATACAGCAATGACCAGTTATTTTTCCACGAACAGTTTTTGAACCAATGGGCATCTAATTATGTGATAATAAATGAAAGATCTATGTGTGGGCTAAGAATAGAATGCTGGGTTGTCAAACTGCTAGAAAGTCAGTAGCAAAGCTAAGAAAAATCATTCCAAATTATTCAAATAATGTCCTTTAAAAAACAAACATCCTTATGATATAACAAGAAAGGATTGTCATTCTCATTCTTAATTTTTCTTTTCTCTTTTCCTTTTTTCTTTTGTTTTGATTCATCAAAATGGACAGAACTGCTACCATTGGAGCATAGGTGTTAGGGAAATGACTAAGACTTAAAGGACCATTTAAGAAATAACAGAGAGCAGTTTATAGTTGGATTTAAATGAATGATATAGCTATTACCAGTGCAAGGGGGTAAAGACCAGAAACATGTCCATGGGAATGGTGAGAACTGAGAAAGGACATTTGGCTACTATGATTCCAATCCAGGTTTATGTCTAGTAAGACTATACAAGCTACATACAAAAAACTTAAAACACAGAAGTAAAGCGCAATTGCATCTTTTTTATGCTTTATTTATCTTTCAAACAAGAAGTAATTGGATAGTATCTGTAAAAAAGATAACTTCTTGGGGCCAGCAGGTGACATAACGGTTGAGGTGTTGAACTCTCACATGGCTGACCAGACTTTGAGTCTCAGACTTGGCGGCTTACTTTCTCCTTTTTCCCTCTCTGACTCTTTCTGGTCAAGTTTAAAAGAAAGGAAACAATAATGGTAAATAAAATTAAATAAAAAATTATTTTAAAAAGATAACTTCTTTATAAAGCTGCGCAAGTGCTGTATATTCTAGAACTATTTCTCTCTTTCCTAACTTGATACAGGGTGTGTGCCACTTGTTAGAGAGAAAAAGAGAGAGAGAGAGATAATCCCCAGTAGGAGATGGTCACACTGCAATACTTTCTCCTCCATTCTTCTTTCAAGATTTTGGGCACACATGGCACCTTTCTTAAACTGCTAGGTCCTGGGCTCAAACTGCAAAGTTGGCCAAATTGGATCCAGCCACCTTAACCATCACACCACTGACTGTTCCATGTGGAAATGTTTATTTGGAACCCATTATACATAATCACAATGTCAAGGTGGTCACAGAAGGGTGATGTGGAAGTGGGGAAGGCCAAAGATCAACAGAAAGGAAATCGTTGGAGAATTCAGAGCACAGTCTTTGAAGCAAGTGAAGTTGAGATTTAAGTCCTAGCTCTATCACTGAGCAGATGGGTAGCTCTTGAAAATCTTCTACCTTCTGTGCATTTCTGTGTACACACAGGACTGATGTAAGCAGACCATGAACAGGGTGTGGAAGAGATACAGCAAACTACAAAGTACCTTGAACATCCAGCAAATGAAATGATGGTACTTTGACCCCAGAAAGTCTTAGAAGGAAGAATCACTGAATTTATTATTAATTATTATTATTATTATTATTATTTGTTTAAACATTCGATCACTATACATCGTTTGACTTGTAAAGAGAATTTACCCAACATGAAATACACTTCAGACCAGTCCAGTTGAGAATACTATACACATTATCAACAGAATCACTGAATTTTAAAGCATCAGGCCTCAAAAGATAAGTGAGAATCCAGCATGTGAATGTGATAAAGGGGCAGGGAGAGGAGAAAGGCAAGGCTGCAGCAGGGAACTCCCAACCTCCTTGGGCAAACAGGCTATTTTGCCCTGACCACACATGTGCCATAGCACATGACAGCCCTAGAGGAAAAACTAGAGAAGAGGTCCTTGACCTCTGGATAAAAACAGACTGAACTTTGGGATGGCTCTGCATGCTGTCTGTGAAGCTGAAATTTCAATACTCCTGAAGTACTGTCATTGAAGGCCTAAGGTCCAAGGAGAGCCAAGGAAAGAAGTGAATGAGGAGGATTTCTAATCCGAGAAACAGGGCCAGGAGGCAAGGGTGAGAGAGGTGGAAGCTGAAGCAGAGGAAAAGACAGGAGAGAGACATGCTTTTTCAGGGATAAAACTGTCAAAACTTGGCAATGGACTGTAAGAAGAAAATGATGCAGACAGACTTGCAACCACCTAAACTTCCCAAGGAGAGCAACCAGTTGAACTTACTATCACCCTGGATGTGGGTCAAAATACAAAGATGGATTTTTGAGAAAATGCACAACACAGGTCTCTTGAACAATACTTACTGAAAATGTGTTTTCTGTTTTATAGCGCTTTATGACCCTTTTATTATTTGTCTAACAGCTTTTTTTTTTAATTGAAGTGGACGTCATTGCACATGGAGCCAATCATTTAAAGTATACGATTCAGTATCATTTAGTAGTCACATTATTGCACAATGATCAGTTTTATCTAATGCTGAACAATTTTCATCTCCTCTAAAGGAGGCCCCTTATCCATTAAGCAAGGTGCTGAGCAGAAAGCTCACCAGGACAACAATTGCCCTGGCAGAATCTGTCTGATACAACTATTTTGCAACTCTGGAGTGTACTGAAGGCTTGTCACGTCCAGACAAAGGCTTAGACAGTAAACTGCAATTCATGTTGGTCAGTTCCAGCTGTCAGTATATTAGCAGCACCCAGCTGTACACGCTTCCTAGAGCACTGCGCATGGCACAGGAGCTGGGGCGAGCAGAAAGGACTCTGCTCTCCAAATAAACGTGACCAGCACCTTCTACTTGATGCCTCGTGTGCTATTCTGGCATCACTAGTAAAACTGGACCACTGTGTAAATGTCACTTTCATAATAAATTCAATATCAAGAAATCACACCCATGTACTATGTTGTAACCACAGTATTTTGAAATTTTTATAATGACTATATATTATTATGTACCTTTAATTATTGTCCTAGAACTTTTTTGGCTACTGATTTCTGCTTAATTCTTCTCTCAAACACTTCAAAAAATTTTATTTCTCTTAAAATCTCTAGTTTATAAGTAACAAATATTTATAAAGAAGAATTTTTTTCCAAGGTGTTCTTTAATTATATTGCAAGATATGTACCTGTATAATTTTTATAAAATCTGCATAGGAGGCACTTAGAGCAAATCCAGGGAGTTCCCTTCCCTCCAAAGGATTTTTTAATTAAATACAAACATAGTTATTTCTTGTTACAGTAAGAGAATATATTTTCACTTCAGGCACTGAAACTAGATTCCTCCAGGGTTTTTTTTTTTTCTCATTTTTTTTTATTATTGTGGTAAAATGCATGCAACATAAAATTTACCACCTTAACCGTTTTTTAGTGTATATTTAAGTTGAATTAAATTCATTCATAATGTTTCGCAGTCATCATCATTCATCCCCATAACTCTTTTCAACTTGTAAAACTTAAACTGTGTATCCATTCAGAAAGAATTCCATATGACCCAGTAATGCCACTCTTAAAAATCCATGCAAAGGATAGGAAAATGGTAGGAAAAACACTTGCTTGTCCATGTTTATTGCAGCATTCTTCACAAGTGTTAGGACATGGAATCAACCCGGATGTCCAAGAATGGATGAGTGGACTGTAAAGATGTGGTACATGGGTTCTATGGAAAACTACTCAGTCACAAAAACAAAACAATGAGGCCATGACATTTGACATAAAGGGGATGAATATGGAGGATTTAATGCTAAGCAAAGCAAACCAGATTATGAAAAACAGGCATTGAATGTCCCCATTTAATATATACCAAATGTCTTCACTCTAAGCAGAAACTGAAAGAGTAGAAGGAATAATAGCAGGGATGCAAACTGTCGGTACTAGAGACAGTGTAAAAGGAGATGGAGAAAAGGAGTAGATGAAGGCGTGGGAAGGAGGAAATCAGGGGGGAAAAATACAAAACATTTACTAGACACAAAAATGAAAAGTATCTGTTGATGATAATGCACGTGGCCATGCCTTCGACTTGACTAATATGCACTGTATTGGTGCTAAGTCATGTTTCAGCCTGTAAAGATGGACAGTGACTAAATGTAAAGAAAAAATAATTTAAAAAATCTCTTAATTTTCTCCTCCCTCCACTCCCTACCAACCACCAATCTAATTTCTGTCTCTGTAATTTTGACTGTTCTAAATATCTCATATAAGTGGGATCACACAATACTTGTCTTGTGATTGGCTTCTTTTATTTAGCATGATGGCCTCAAAGTTAATCCATGTCAGAACTACCTTCCTTTTTAAGACTGAAGAGTAATACTCCATTGCCTATATATACACTGCCTTTTGCCTATCTACTAATCTGTCGATGAACACTTTGTCTGCTCACCTCAGACCTTGGCAAGGCTCTTGGCTGAGTCTTCTCTTTGATTAAAATGAGTGGGCCTTGCTCAAGCATCCCTAAACAGTCCCAGTAATGAGCTGCCCTCTGGTCCCTATGAGGTCTGGTCAACACAAAACATGAGTCAGAGGGT